TCTGGGGTCTTAAAAGCTAGTGAGCAGCCATCTAAGATGCATCAATTGGTCCCAACCCACCTGGAGCAAAGGAGAATGGAGAACACCAAAGACACAAGGAAAGTATTAGCCCAAGAGACAGGAAGGGCCACATAAATCAGAGACTCCATCAGCCTGAGACAAGAAGAACTAGATGGTGCCCAGCTACCAACAATGACTGCCCTGACAGGGAACACAACAGAGTCCCTGATGGAGCAGGAGAAAAGTGGGGTGCAGAACTCAAATTCTAGTAAAAAGATCAGACTTAATGGTCTGACTGAGAGTGGAGGAACCGCAGAAGACATGGCCCCTGGACTCTGTTAGCCCAGAAATGAAACCATTCCCAAAGCCAACTCTTAAGACAAAGACTAAACTGGACTATAAGACATAAAATGATACTCGTGAAGAGAGTGCTTCTTAGCTCAAGCAGATACATGAGACTAAATGGGCAGCTCCTGTCCGGAGGTGAGATGAGAAGGCTAGAGGGGATGGAAGCTGGTTGAATGGACAAGGGAAATCCTGGATGGAGGGGAAGAGTGTGCTGTCACATTTTAGGGGGAGCAACTAGGGTCACATAACAATGTATGTATAAATTTTTGTTGAGAAACTGACTTGAACTGTTTACTTTCACTTAATGCACAATAAAAAAAAAAAAAGAATGCAGGAATTTATTCTAGTAGACCTTTAATACCTCTCAGGTTCATTGTCATTATACAGCTCACTGGGAAATACTAAGGTTAACAAACGTGAAAAAATGTTCACTTTCACAGATAATTTAAAAATCCAATTTAAATCAATGATGAGTCCCATGGCAATGATCTTAAGACAACTATAACATCCAGTGTTTGCTGAGAGGCAGGAAACAGCTGTTTTCATGTTCCATTGGTAGGAGTGTCTTCTGGTCCTAATTTCAGGACAGCAATTTAAAAGCACAGGACTCAAAGTCCTTTAAAACTTTTGGCTTAGCGATTACATTTCAAAGAATTTATTCTAATGATGAATTCAGTCAGGTACTCTGACACATGTCTATAAAGATATTTAAACAAATCTTTTCCCCATTAAAATTTGCAAATAGTCTAAGTGTTTGAAAAGAAAAGAATGATTAAAGAGCCATACAATGAATTCCTAGGCAGCCACAACAAATGTTGATGTCTGTGGACACTCATATTAATTAGTATGGAAATGTGCTTGATGTATATTTGTTTAATTAAGAGAAAGGCTATACACTGTGTAAGCCCACATTTTCATAAAATTTATGTTTGTATATTTGTAAGTATGCCCAGAACAAGGCCTGGAGAGTGAAATGCCTAAATGTCAGCAACAACAGTTTTGCTATAGATGATTTCTTTTCATACTTTTCTTCTTTCTTTTTTTGTACTTGGGAATTTTCCCATAATGAATATGTATTATTTTTGTAATAAAGAAGTATTCTAAGATTATATTGTCTAAATTATTAGTCTCATCTATAATTTTTCTACATTAGGATAATTATTTGAGTTCAGAAACAAAACATTGCTATAAAGAAAAATGAATGTTCACGGTGGTTTTTATTCCTTATTTTATCCTTTCATTTTTTTTGTCATTTCTTTTTCTAATGGTAGTATGATTCTTTTCAGATTCTAAAGAAGGGATAAATACATTTTTCTGTATCAATTGTTAACTTAACATTAGGATTTCCTGTTAATATCTTAAATTCTACATTTATCTTCATTTCCCCAGGACTTAAAATGAAGATAACTTTTTACCACCTACCTACTTCTCACATATAATAGTATAAAATACCTTAAGCACGATGGAAACCTGGTGTTATATATAAGCCACAAGATAATATTTACCAAGATTTTTATCCTGAAAAAAAAATCTTAAGAGTTAAAATAAGAACATATTTTTAAATCAGTTACGTTGTTCCCGTGTTCTGTTTCTTCCACTTTCCATTGTTTTTTTCTGTTTTTCTATTTTTTCTACTGGATTTTCCCCTTCTATCTAAACATACCCTGCCTGCATCACATACACCAGATGTGCCTTTTCCCTTTTAGTCTTTCTAAATTCTTTCACTTATTTATTTATTTATTTTACTTTTTTTTTTTTCATATGGAAAAGCAGTAGTGTGATTTTGTCCTTGAGTTGACTAATCTGATTAGGTAAAGGGACACATTTTTCAGAACCATAGTTTCTTTTCTTTTTTTAATTGCATTTTTGGTGAAACTACATACACAGCAAAACATACACCCATTTAACTATTTCTACGTGTATAATTCAGTGACATTGGTTGTATGCTTCATGTTGAGTCATCATTCTCGCTATCTCTACTCAAATTGTTTCACCCCCAGTAACTTAGGCTCACTGTCCCCTAAACTTTTCATCCATACTTTTACGTACTATTGTCAATTTTATCTCACATAGATAATTCCTTAAAAGAGCTCAATTCTCAAGGTAAACATATTTTACTAATTGAGCTAAACTGTTGTTTGGTTTAAAGATGACTTCAAAAGATAATTTTGGTTCAAGGTTTAAAGATTATTTCAAGACAATAGATTCAAGAGTTCCTCTAGACTCAATGGGTCTGGTAAGACTGGATAGCATAAAAATTTGAAATTCCGTTTTCCTCCTTTTGACAGAACCATATTTTCTTAAACGGAAAATTATCTATAATCTCAGTATTAGATGGAAGCCACAGAGGACATTTTACAGCTAATAGCTTTATTGAGCTTGTATGTTTTCCACATAGAATTGCTGGACATGTTCCTGGGAGAAGTGACAGATGTACCTGACAAGCTGATTCAGTTAGTTCAAGAATCCTTTTTTTTTTTTTTAATATTTTATGGTACTTCAGGTGAAGGCTTACAGAACAAATAGTTTCTCATGAAACAGTAGTACACATGTTGTTTTATGACATTGGTTAACAACCCCACAACATATT